ACACACACACACACACACACACACACACACACAGTATTCGAAATTCCGATTTCCACATTTCTTATAGATTAACAAGATTTAAAAACATTACATTTTAAGCATAAATGATGAAAAACACAGAAATATGCACCTCAGGTCAGTGACTACGTAGGAGCTCTGGAGAGGGAGGAATTTCCCACATCCCGACAGGGCTGTTGTGTTAGTAGCGCCCTCTGCTGGAAAAACACATGAACTACATGCTATCCTTCATGTTATAAATGGGCCTCTTGTCCGGTTATATACATACACAATGTTCTGATGTCACACATTCAGGTTAAATAAAGTGTGCAGTGATACACACGTCATACTTCAGACGCTCAATCATCAGGTAAGAAATTCTGTTCATCTGGACTTTAGTGGGAGATAATCTGCTGTGACAGAATAACTTTATTTACAGCACCTTTTAAAAACAGATGCACACAACAAAGCTACAGATCAGGCCAAGAAATGAAACAACATTAAAGAGAAAACTGAAAAATAACCACAAACATACACAAGAAAACAGACGAGAGAAACAGAAAACTGTTCCACAGCACAGTTCTTTATACGATAGTGCACAGCCCCTCAGCGGGCTTCTGGAAGTTAGCCAATCAAGAGAAAGTGGGCTTTAATGAGGCCTTAAAGACAGTCCCAGTTAATTTGATGACAACAATACAGAGACGGAGCTGAAGATTTCCCCCGACTGTTCTCAACAAACTCTCTGTGATGCTTCATTTTTAGAAAGTAAAAAATGTAAAATGTTTTTATCAGACATCAGTTACTGTTTTTATTTCAGATTCACATTTAAAGATGATAATGTACAAGAAAAAGAATCGTGTCTTTTGTTGTTGTTACTCAAACGTAGATTTGAAATCACCTCAAAAATCACCGAGCTGTTTGACAACTACTCTTTCAAGGAAATAAAAGTCAACAAAAGGCCAAAAACAATCAAACTAACAAACAACAAAAAGCAGTAGATTCGTCTTTGCATCTCAAACTGACCCATTTCAAACAAAAAATCCTTCATATTGAAAGATTTTCAAAAAGGACTCAACCTGATAATCGATGCAGCTTAGTTGACATCTTGAATCCAGGGCACGAAAGACGTCAACCTGTGGGAAAAACCACAATCGTGGACAAGGACCTGAGTTCCTATTAGAGCTGTAAATAAATCAGCCTGTTGGTGTCTTAGACAAACAACTGCTCTGACAGATTTTGTGCCCCAGTGAGATTTGAAGGAGCTCATTTTATATCGTGTAGAGTCGACTGAAGGAGGAACCACTGAGGTCTGACGTCTCCAACCAAAACTGAGTGTTTGCTTTTAACTAATCAGAAATCTGCACCATCGCTGTTTGATTGTTGTTTTTATTGTTGATGCTGTTACTAATAGTATTATTTCTGCCTTTGTTTTGTCTTTCTTTTATTTTTGGATCTTGTTTTTTTCTGTAAAGCTGTACCTGCACTATGTTCCATCAGGACATTCTCACCTTTAGAAAATGAAAGATGTCCACAGCAGTGTGAGTGTAGTTAGAACTTCCTGCTACTTTTCTTTAGTTTAACAATCTCCTGAAGTCACTTTGGTTTTGGTGAGTTACAGTCTGAGTTTCAGCTCCTGTTATGTTTGTCAAATTCAAGGTATAAGAAATTCTGAGCAGAATGGTGAGATCTGTAAATCAGCTTTAGACCGAAGAAACCCATCGGTACAATGTACATTTCAAATTCTTTTTAAATTTTAAATATGTTCATATTGTCTAATTTAATTCACTTAATGTACAGAATTCTTGCTGCATACATGCTACTACTGCACAGTCACCCAATGTTTGCAGTATATAATGTTCTTCTTCTCTCTGTCAGGTTACATTTCACTGCGTGTTCTACTTGTATAACTCTGCATGTGGCGAATAAAGAATCTTGAAACTGAACCTACTATATAAAAGTTCAAGTTCAGCTGTTAAATTATAAACTTGCTTATTTAGAGCTCTTTAGCAGTACTGCAGGAGGTTAACTTAACTCATTATTTCAGAGTGGAGTCCTGCAGTGACCTGCCTCGGGCTCTTACCTCCTCCTATGTGGGCAGCAGGCAGCTCAGTGTGAGCTCATCAGGGTCCAAACTCACAGTCTGAGGAGAGGACATGCCAGGAGTGACTGAAGACTCCTGCAAGTGCTGCTTAAAATCTAGTACAGGAGCCACAGTCACGTGGTTCACCAGCCCATCTGCAAAGTGAGTCAGAGGTTCAAGCACTTTTTGCCCAGATCACTTTTTTAACAGTTACTTGTAATATTTAGTAATCTGAGGAATGTCTAAGGTTTTACACAGTCAGGACATACTGAGAATAAAGCATCAATTCCTTGACTTCTCGTGTTATCTGATTTATTGTTATCCAGATAAAGTCGAATTAACATTACATTGACATTAGGACCCTTTTCCTGCAGAACACTTGCCTAGACGGCAGGACAAGTTACAACTGTTGGGTCTGTGTTTCCACAGGCCCCGCTAGTTTAGAATCAGAATCAGAATCAGAATCAGAATCAGAATCAGAATCAGAATCAGAAAGGGGTTTATTGCCAAATGTTGAGCAGGTTTACAACATTAGGAAATTGCTGCGGTGCTTCAGTGCAAACATACTGTCATAAATTACGCTTAAATAGACATGAAAAAATAAAAATAAGAATAAGAATTAAAGTGCTAAGTAGATAGATATATACATGATATATACATGAGTGCAGGTGGTGATCAGTGCAAACATGGAATGATGCAGTGAACACAGCGTAGGGTCATGTGTTAGCAGTCCATCTGCATCTTAAGGTCAAAGGTCACTCTTTCGAGGATGCCAATGTTCACATTTTGGACAGAGAGGACAGATGGTTTGAAAGAGGAGTGAAAGAAGCCATCTATGTCCACTGTGAGC